TAGGTTGCCACATATATTAGTTTGAAAGCTAAGTGTTAGACATGTTCCATGCTTGAAGAGAAAATTGATTTTTGTTGTCAACTTGCAAAGGCAGGGTATGTAACTACTTTCACAAATGATTCGTCGAAGTTTGCCAAATGAGCATTGATGATAGGTCGAGGAAACAATGAATGCACCCTTTACCTGATCAATGGGATGTCTGAATCCACTAGAGTTGTTGGAACAAAGTTTGATGCATGTCTTTGACATTGCAGACTTAGGCCATATGAGTGAGAATCTATGAAGTCTCTCCTTTTTAGGAACAAACTTCATGGTTTAAATTCTATAAATTTAATTTTTTGTGAAGATTGTGTATATGACAAACAAATAAGATAAGTTCCTTAAAAGTGTGTCAAAGTTGATGTCTAAAAGCTGGAGTTAGTGCATATTGATTTATGGGGTTCTACTTCAGTTCGTTCTATTAGAAGTTTTCGATATTTTGTCACTTTCATTGATGATCACACGAGAAATATATGGGTGTACTTGAAACATACATGTAATATATTTGATATGTTTAAGAATTGAAATGTCATGATTTAGATATGTTTGAGGTTAAAGTATCTCAGATCAGATAATAATGACGAGTACTGTGTTTAGAGGTTTATAAGCTATTGTGCTTTAAGGGGAATTATACATGAGTACACTGTTCAGAGGACATCATAAAAAAATAGTGTTATTGAGCGCATGAATAAAACCATCATATAGCATTTTGAGAGCATAAGACTGCATGTAGGCTTGCCAGAATAATTTTGGTTGAAGAACTAAATATTACAGTTTATCTAATAAATCGTGGTCTGTCTATATTTTTGAATAAAAGCTCACCTGAAGTAGCTTAGAGCGACAAAAATAACTCTATCTCACCTGAAAGTATTTCATTATATGTTCATATTGATGCAAGATTTAGGAGTAAGTTGATTTAAGTTATATCAAGTGCTCTTTTATTGGATATGTCTAATATGAATTTCATTATAGATTTTGGGACTATTAGAATCAGAATTTTAATAGGAGCAGAGATGTTACTTTCAATGAAATGAAGATCTACAAGAATAGAAACAAAACTTCGGATTGTTCATCACTTACTTTTGAAGACTCCGCCAAATGTATTGAGATAGAAGATAATGGTGACCGGGAAGATGGAGAAAGGAAAAAATGCTCATTCCAATGAAATACATGAAATTCCTCAGACAACTGCTACGGAAGTCATGAGGTCCAACAAAATCACACAACCGATATAGATGTATTCTCTTTCTTTGTACGATTTATTACTATCTGAGCAGCGAAGCTTGCCAGAAGTAGCTTAGAGCGACAAAAAAGTAACTCTATCTCACCTGAAAGTATTTGTTTGTTCATTATATGTTCATATTGATGCAAGATTCAGGAGTAAGCTGATTTAAATTATATCAAGTGCTCTTTTATTGGATATGTCTCATATGAATTTCGTTATAGATTTTGGGACTATTAGAATCAGAATTTTATTAGGAACAGAGATGTTACTTTCAATGAAATGAAGATCTACAAGAATAGAAACAAAACTTCGGATTGTTCATCACTTACTTTTGAAGACTCCGCCAAATATACTGAGTAGAAGATAATGGTGACCGGGAAGATGGAGAAAGGAAAAAATGCTCATTCCAATGAAATACATGAAATTCCTCAGACAACTGCTACGGAAGTCATGAGGTCCAACAAAATCACACAACCGATGCAGATGTATTCTGTTTCTTTGTTCGATTTATTACTAATTGAGCAGCGAATCAGAGTGCTATGATGAAGCTGAAGACTCAAAAGTGTGGGAGTTTGTCATGGATGACGAGGTGCGGTCAGTAATGTCAAATCAGATATGAGAATTGACATAATTACCAGATGACACAAAATGCACTACATAACAAGTGGATTTTTAGGCTGAAAGAAGAATCAAATGATAGAAAACACTACAATAAGAGACATTATGAATGGATTTTAGCAAAAGGAAGGAGTTGGCTATATTGGTATATTTTCCTCTGTAGTTAAGATGACAACCACTAGAGTAATGCTGAACTTAGTGACTATTTGGCTGGATAAATTAGGGGTTTATTGTATGCCAAATTCATAAATATTTAAAATATAGTTGTTTATTCCGAAGTAATTTAAATCCAATGTTAAATAATATTGCATTTGAAATTCAGCCCTTCATTCATTTTCCCTGAATTTGGTTTTTGACCGATTTGGTCTAGAATTTAAAACACACTGCTTATGTGAGCATCGCAGTCAGCTTGTCGTCCCCTCCACTGCCGCCTGTTGCCTTCACCACGGCCCGCCGCCATCCCGCCACCACTATCGTCCTCGTCACCATCCTCGCTGGCATCGCAGTCCTCATAGTCATCCTCATCTCTACTACCGTCGCCGTCCGCCGCCCTCCGCCTGCCGCCCGTTGCTCTCCGCCTGCTAGCTATAGCCTGACGTCCCTGACTGCGATGGTTGGCCGGCCGGCCTGGGCAGGCTACGACGGCCCCTGCCAGCTGCTTGTGGCTCCCCTGTGGCTCGTAGACCGTCAGCTGCCGGCTACCGATTGCCGCCTCCAAATGTTAATTTTATATTGACATATTTATTTTCATTTTACTTCAAACCAATTAAAAAAATAGTTGCCCGTTTATTTTACAATGAACCAAATAACTCCAAAGTATTTCAAATAAAATACATTACAACTGCTTTGTATTTATTTTACATTAGATTACTTTTTTTGCCTACCAGACAACTCCTTAGCAAAGGAGGAAAATTTAGTTTTGGAGTAGATGGATGTAAGTACAACATTCTTATTTGGTGATTTAGAAGAATTGTATATGGTACAACTACAAAGATATGAAGTTTTAGGAAAAGAATATATGGTCTGTGGACTGAAGAAGAGTCTTTATGATTTAAAGTAGACACCAAGATTATGGTGCAAGAGATTTGACAGATTTATGTCAGATAGTGGGTACAAAAAGTGTCAAGCAGATCATTTTTGCTTCATTAAACAGTTTGATAATTGTTATATTGTGTTTTTTTTTGTTTGTAGATGATATGCTGATTGTAGGAGCAAATATAGAGATGATCAGGGACTTGAAAGAGTAATTATCTAATAGAGTTTGAAATAAAGGATTTATGTCCAAAAAAGATAATCATCTGTATGAGAATCAACAGGGACAGAAGTTCAGATATATTGAAGCTGTTTCAGAAAGAATATGTTGAGAATTTCTTACACAGATTCAAACTGAGTGAGGTAAAACTAGTTTGCACTCCCTTAGCCAGTCACTTTAGACTATCTAAGGAACAATCACCTAAATCTGAAGCTTAGCAAGTACATATGAAAATAATCTTTTATGTTTCAACTGTTGGAAGTTTGATGTATGTGATGATATGTACAATACTAGGTTTACACATGCAGTTGGAGTGATCAATAGGTATATGAGTAATACATGGAAACATCATTGGGAAGAGTTGAAGTGGATTTTCAGATACTTTAGAGGAACAGTTAACAAAATACTTTATTTTAGAAGTACAGGGATTGATGTACAAGAATATATAGATTTAAATTTGGCAGGAGATATTGATGGTAGCATAAGTACAACATTATACATCTTCATTTTGGAGACCACAACAATGAGTTATATTTCCATGTTACAGTAGATTGTTGGACTATGAACTACATAAGTTGAATATATTGTTATCATGGAGGCTAGCAAGAAAACGATTTGGTTGTAGAGCTTTATGACAGAATCAGGCAAAGAGCAAGGGAATGAAAAATTTCATAATGATAGTATGGGTGTCATTCATCTAGCAATGAATGTCGCATTTCATATTAAGATGAAACACATTCAACTGAGGTATCTTTTCATTTGTTCACTCCTAGAAGGTGACCAATTATCTTTGGAGAAAATACACACGGTATAAAATCCTGCAGATATGTTTGACTAAGACTGCTAAAATTGAGAAATTATAGTTATGCTTGACTTCAGTTGGAGTTTAGGAAGGTTTAGATTGGGGCTAAGCCACACTACAGTACATCACTATGAAGATGATACATATTTGGATAGGAATTGATTATAATTAGTCTCCAAGTTGGAGATTGTTATTTATGAAGCTTGATTGTGGAAAGTTTGGGCTTCCCGGTGGCTGGAGTGGTGCCTAACTCCAGTGGGGGGCATAAGCGGCGCCCAACAACATGCTTCTGGAACATAGAACCGACACCTAGGAGAGGCACAAGACACTCGGACCGATCCTGAATTTGAGCACCTAGAAACCAGGTGCTTGTGGGTGGCACCCGACACCATTAACTGTTTTTGGGAGTTTGGAACTTTAAGCCTTCGGTTTCGCTGTGGAAGTTTGTCTGTTTGCTCATTGAAGTGTTGGATTTCAAAGTTTTGTGTAAGGAAGAAGAGTAGCGTTCTTGAGTTCCAAACCGTGGAAAGGCTAGAGTGTGGTGTAATTTGTACTTTTCTTTTTGTTTTTCATAGTGAATTTCTTGGTGTGGTGTAGAACAGTGTTGTTTTTCCATTTTTGGGTTTTTCGAGGATGTTCTTTGTATTTTCTGTGATTTTTTGTTTTGTATGTTTCTGTTTTAACTTTTGCTTCATATCTCTGGAGTAGATTTCCAAGCTATCTATCTCACTGGACAACATTTATAATGGTATTGTTATATGACCTACACCCACTGTGGTAATGCAATAGTAAATTTACACTATTAGAGAAATATGCGTATAAATTACGTATAAATTACAATAACATAGATTCTGTTCTAAGACGGCTGAAAAAATTACCTTTGCAAGCTAAAGATCCTATTCTAATTGCGTTGGAAGCAATAGAATATATATCAATAATGCAGTCAATTTTTTTCCTTGGAGAAAAAAACTCTTTCTTAGAAGATTTTATTTAAATTGATCAGCAATTCACTTGTTATATTGTTACCATACTGAACTTGTTTGATTGATTTACCTCCTTTCCAGTGCTTTCTATTGATCCAGTCATAGGAGCTATTGCAGCGGGTAACGCTGTTGTTCTGAAACCATCAGAAATTTCTCCATCCACATCATCTTTCTTTTCTAGTGTACTGCCGAATTATGTTGATGCTTCTTGTATTAAAGTTGTTGAGGGATCTGTTCCTGTAACTACCGCACTACTGGAGCAGAAGTTTGATAAAATACTCTATACAGGTAAGTGCGCTATTTTCTGCAATACGCATTTGGAGGTATTCTCCATATTATTTAGTAGCTTTATTCTTGGATTAGCTTACCCTCTTCTTCTTAAAGTAGGATTCAGTGAGAATATCTCCATATTCAAATCCTTGATTATGAAATTAT